TGCTAGCATCTTGGCCACATGACTACGTTTGAACTAAAAGTCTATTCAAACTTTTCAAAAACTGAAAAAAACACAGTGTGTTCTTTTAGGAAGTACAAAGTTAAGAAGTACTATAAGAAAATACTTGATGATGACTAAGAGTAGCCATAAAGTTGAATTATTTATCCAAATACCTAATGAATAATATTAGTGATTTCAATTAACACAATTGAGGAGCTGGTTTTATTTAAAAAAAAAAAAAAAGATGAAAAGATCTTTGTATAGATTACAGGCCAGACTTCACCTTCTCTTATGTCCTCTGCTCAGGTTTGGAGATGGTATTTTAAGCAGGTTTATGTAGCAACCTAAAGAACTGTTCTGAAATTATTGTATATGTGACATTTCTGTTCCACTGGAATTCTGCCCAGCTGATGTGCAAAGGATGAAAGCAAATGAACACCACTTCAATAATTCTCAGTCCTCAATCAAGATGCTACATAGTGAATTCTAAAAATGGACATTGTATAGTTGAACTGTCTAATCCTTCTTACCAAATTAGGGCAGCAATATGGCTTTTTTTTTCCTTTTTAACCGTTACTGGATTTTAAAACTTGCTGTCATCCTTTAAAAATATCTTTATTAAAAATTCAATTTGAAGATTCTCTTAAGAGAGCTAACACATCAGCGTCCCTGAAACACAACTCCCAGGTAGTGCAATTTTAGATAACATGGTGGGAGGACTCAAAACTCATACATAAACAATGAAGAACACCATTGTATTTTCAGAAATTAATCAATGCAACATCACAGATGTTAATAAGAGGATCCTAATCAAATTTTTATATGTGAGACTGCTTTTCCCTCCATTCCTTCTAGCACAATGAACTGAAAGCGATAGTACCTGGGCATTTCCTCTTTTAGCAGGGAAAATATTTCACATTGAGTTTTCAACTCAGCAACGTTATACTTCTGATCCAACAAAAATTAAAGGTCTATTCCACCCAAGGCACCAAGAACACGTTAATGTAGCCTGGCTCGGGAAGAGGTTTGTTCTGCCTTCTCTTTGGAAGCTATGAGTGAATGCACTATTCACAGAGTATTCATTTATAAATTAGATGAATACTTGGTACATTCAGGATGAAACCCTGTGTCGATTTCTACCCCAATTTTATGAACCTGGCTGGGTGGCTGCATCACCACAGACTCTAGTTTCTCTAAAATAAAAACTGCAGTTCCACCATACTCCTGAGTGTGCCCTTACCATACAGGAACCTTCTGCTTGGGGAAAAAAAAAAAGGAGCCCCAAAACACTTCCTCAGCTAGAGGAATCCCCTGGGTTGCACAATTTGTGTATTGCAATCAAATTTTTTAAAGTCCTCATTCTGAAAAGCAAATCCTATTCTCCAAAACTCTTATCTAATTCCAAAAAAATGTTTCCTCAGGGAGAAAAAACTCTCAAAAGAGTTTGACCTTCATTCCCCATTGAGAACTACAGGCTTTTTTTTTTTTTTTAATGGAGTACTAAGGTACTGAAACGTGTCCTTATTTCAAGGCTTCTCAATTCCTGCAAGTCTCTCCCTTTCCCCATTAAGAGTTGCTCAGTTTTAGAAATTCCCTCATGTCATACTTCCATCTAAGTTAATTTAGGAGCTCAGTTTGTACTGTAGTCTTACACATCCCCAATAAGTATGTTTCGCCTAAGAAACTGTCTTGGGACCGAAATTCTTTAAGAAGAAATATGCTATGGTTTCGGTTTTGTAAATTTGATATTCTTACTAAGCTTACCAGAAACCAAGGAGCCTTGTTATTTAGCCAGCTTACAACTCAGAATATTCATATGACCACAGGACATGGGTGACGGTTCACCCATTAGTCATGGCTGCATCCCCTGTTTGCTTTGTTCCTACAGCCAAATATACTAATGAACTTTCTCATTAATCCTTTTCCCTCCATAATCATTTCTAAAGTGAAATTTCCTTCTAGAAAAGAAATGCTGACAAATTTTCTTGGCAGCTGTGGCAGTTACAATTAGTGTCTCTAAGATAATTATGATTACCAATTTGCCAATATGTGTGAAAGAAAATGCGTATTGAACTTTGAGACAATAAAGAATATCCTGGCTTTGTTGAGGCTTGACGAGTTTTGTAAGCTGTTGTATTTATTTTCAAGATATTTCATAATCTGGTTTTTATTACAGCCAACAATTTATTAACTGACACCAAGTTCAGCTCTATAGGACCCATACAATTCTGAATTTAAACAACCCTCTGGTTTCACAGTCACTGTAGACTCGACTCATAAACTAGATTATCTACATAGTTTATAACCACGTCAAGCACAAAACTTTTACATCATTAGCCAGCTTTTTACCTTAAAGGAAATTCTAACAAGCAAAAATAAAGCTTGACACTTTGAACACCAAATTTTCTAAGCACCAGGGAAGAAAAAAACCAACATGTCCATGCACCCTGTAGTAGGGACTATAAATATGGAATGTGTCTCAGATATGTAATAAGAGTTTCTGCTTAGCTGGGCACAGTGGTGCGCGCCTGTAATCCCAGCAGCTCATGAGGCTGAGGCAGGCAGGAGGATTTCGAGTTCAAAGTCAGCCTCAGCAAGGCGCTTAGCAAATCATTGAGACCCTGTCTCTAAATAAAATATAAAATAGGGATGGGGATGTGGCTCAGTGGTCAAGTGCTCCTGAATTCAATCCTTGGTACAAAAAAAAAAAAAAAAAGAATTTCTGCTTAACCCATTTAATGTCTTATGACTGTCTCTATCCTCCAATGCTGGAATACTGAGCCTCAGTGGATGAATGGGAATCCAGTTAGTTGTCTTTCAACATCAATCTTCCAGAACTAGTTGCCTAGACACTAGCAGAAAATAGCAACAGACTGAGTCAACATGTCCACACCTTTGTCCAATCCATCAGCTTTCAAGTATCCCCAAACGTTCCCTTCACCTCCCTACTCTGGAGTCGAAAACACATAAAGCTCTGGAAAAAAGGGAGATAGGAGAATCTGGCAGCTTGCTTGGTAGGTTCTCACATGAACATTCAAATTCAGATTAATGCATAATTATATATACATATATTCAAGGTACCAACACTTCAAAAACTTTTCACTCTAAAGAAAGACACTTTGAAAATTTATTAAAGCAAGAAAGGACTTACTTGAACACTAAAAATACAGAATTGCAAATTAAGTGTAAGTCGTATAATATTTATATGGGGCAGAACTTTCATACAGATCTTCAGAAAATTCCAGGTCTGTAGCCATGTGCTGAGTGCTCTGAGGGGGCTGGGAGCCAGATGGCTTGGCTTAGAGCCAGGCTCCAGCACTGACTCTGTGACCTGGGGCAGGTTTCTTAACTTCTGTCTTCACAGCTAATGGAGATCATTTCAAGTATCTCCCAGGAGCTGAACCAGGATTTGAGGAGCCTGAAGCTTATAGAGCAGGTAGTTATTTGTGGACTGTGAGTGAAGTCACAGCTGGGCCCTCTCCGAACTTTACAATGGCTATGCAAATGAAGAATCTTAAAGTGTAGCTTCCTCAGCAACACAGAAAACCCACCTCTGTGCCACCATAGAAGCTTGTTATGGGATGAATTGTGGTGGTACATGCAAAGAACTTGGCAAAGCATCCAGCATATAGTATATGCTCAATAAACTTGATCGTCACCAATATTAGTATCAGGAAACTAGGAAGGAGAGCAAATGAGTAGTAGAGACTCATCTACTTTCCTTTGAAACAAGTTCTTTTGAAATAAACTGAGAGCCAGATGGAACATTTATTTACATGGCAAATTATATTAATAAATGTATGTAACATCTTATGAGTTGCAACAGCTGAAAAAAAAAACATAGTGAAGGAGAAAGAAGTTATTAAAGGGTTTGATGCTTTCCTATAAATACCTTGGATAACTAAATATACACCCCAAATGCCTCTTCACATCTTAGACTTGGATGCACTTCAAGTTGTGAATTTCAGAAAAAGTCAACAAGGTAATTGTGCTGCCTGCTCCAAACACAAACACAACAAAGTCTCCTCAATTTGCCAGATTCTCTGAAACCCCAGGTGTTTAAGTCCCGTATCATTCCAAGACACATTCTAGTGACTGAGAAGAGGAACAAGAGGGCCACTTCTCTGTGACTTAGTTTTGACATGATGCTCACTTGCATATGTGAGCACCTTCTCTCCTCTCCTCTCACCCCTCCTCCAGCCAGATGTTAACAGTGTGTCTCACACTTCAGAAGAGAGAGGTGCAAACATTATTAAATCATTGTTTCCTTGAGAATTAGATCCAAATCCATCCCCAGTCATGTAAGATACATTTGGCTGCCCCAAATCCCTAGATTATAAATAATATTCAATCCTAACTACTATGAAATTTTATTGGTCTAACAAATGGCCCAGGACGACTCTGACTGTCAGAATCAATTCTGCTCATGTAACCATCATCTTCTCTCAAAAGGAAGGAAATCACAGGATGAGGGACAGCGGAGAGAAATAGTTGGATGATACAAGCATACATACGTACAAGAGAATAGATTCTGCCACTCTACCAACTCAAGTGGAGGGAACTCTTCTGAGGCACTTGTCATTAACACAGAGTTGAAGCCTCAACATCCATTTTGACCAGCACCTCAAAGAATCATGGGCACGAGATACTTGTTGATTGCATTTGGTGCTGTGCTTGCTTACTTTTTGATCTCTGTGAGAGTTCATCAAAATGAATTGCCTTATCATTCCTTTAGTGACAGAAGACCTTTAAATGCATCAAGAAACTTGTTACACAATACACCAACATAATATCAAATATTATCTCTAATTAAGAGACTGCTTTAATCCATGCCACTTTCAACATTCAGGATACATGAGATGACTTCCTCACATTGACTTACATTACTGTGAGTCTGAAATCTCACGTAGATTTAATATATTTGAATACAACCCAGTGTCATGCTCCTGCCAGGAGGAAGGCTCTGAGAGCAACATTTCAACAACATACAATCGGCTCACCTGTTTGATCCTTTGTGAAATATGACTGGAAGCAGCAACTCTGCACCACATCAGAGCAGAGGGACACACTGCAGGACCGGGACACGCTTTAGGGTGTGGGGCAGGTTCCCCCCAACAAGCTTAAAATCCTTTAAGAAAAGGTCTCTGGTTCTACCCATAGCTTTCAGTCTTCTTTCAAAATGACATAAAAACAGAAAACTACGCTGACTTCAGGTATTATATATAGAAAACAGCCAGAGTTAAAATGGGACTCTTCCTCCTGCCCATTTCCTCAAGGAAACTCAGTGCCCCACCCAGTCTTGTACTTAACACTATGCTTTTTCATGGATCCCGGAAATGCAGACTACAAATACAGCAGAAGTCACTGAAAGCAGCTGCAGGTTCCTGGCTTGATGAGGAACTCTGGGGTTCTATAGCAATTAAGCGCGAAGATACATGAAAAAGACTTGAACCAATGCTTGATCCAGTTAGCCCCAGATCCAGGTAGCAAATCCAGCTTCCTGGCTAACTCCAGTATATGCCACCACCAACAATGTGACCAAAAAGCCCACGTTCTGCTTCTTCTAGCCTGTGTCCGTGGTTTTTCTAGAACTCTTTAGGGCTACGATAATGCTATTCCCACAGTGACAGGTGCCATATAAACATTAAATTGTTCCACAATAAAAATGGGCTCTCCCAAAAAAAAACACCAGTTCAGAGAACAACACAAACTTCTCGTCCTTTCCACTTTGCATTCCGGATTCTTCAAAAGGTATGGTTTCAGTCCACAGGAGAATAAATCAAAGAGGAATTTTTCTCTAAATGAAAACATAAGCCTCCTTGTCAGATTCTGATAACCAAACACATATCCATATCCTACTACTTCCCAAAAGGAATTCCCAAGTCAGTTTCAATGTGATTGAGCCAGGCAAGTGACTTAAGTTTCCTTAGTTCACTTCAGAGGAAAAAAGGAAGTGATCTTCAGAGAAAAAAAACACATGTTTAAATGGAATGATGCACTGGAGAATTTTTTTAAAAAAATTCAGCTGTACTTAGAGGAGCTGAGGGAGGAAGTGTAAATAAAATGGTGAGTGCCTATTTAGCAGTTCTGCTGTTTGATCACACAGGGGACAGGAGTCTCCCCTGGTCCATGTCCTTCACATGAGGGGGAGGGAAAGCTTGGAGAAGCACATCCTCACTTGAGGTGTAAAGATGCTTCCTTGACTGGGCACAACGTCTCCTCAGAGAAAGTATCTTGGAAAAAGGCCTCTCACCACTTCCCTTCCTCCAGGAATAAAGCTGAGGTAGATGAGATGCAAAGCCCAACGAATACTCTAAGAAGAAAACCAGGGTCCTTTCCCCAGCTGATCCAGTGTTTGCTCAGGAAACAGGCTGTGGCTGCACCAGGCCAGAGAGTGTCCCTGCAGGTCAATTCCCAAGAGACCACTCTCCTGGCAGATCTCCATCCCTTCCTCCTCAAGTGAATTTGCAACACACCCTTTTAAGGTGTGTAATATTTTAAAATAAGAAGCCGGGCTGGGGCTATAGCTCAGTGGTGGAGGCTTTGCCTAGCATGTGTAAGGTACCAGGGTTCAATCCTCAGCACTGGATATAAATAAATAAAATAAGGGTATTGTGTCCCTCTACAACTAAAAATATTTTTAAAAAAAAGAAGAAGAAGTTGCAATGTAGATAATAAGAGAAAAGAAATGAGACTGTGAATGTCAGATGTATTCGCTCTGACGAATTTAAGAAAAAAAAATTCTGGAAAGGAAAGTGGTAAATGGGATTCCTGATATACCAAAAGCCCTCAGGATATTTGTTAAATACTTATTGGCTGAACTTGTCCGTTCAAAGAAAACTTGGAAACATATATGCCTTCAGGGAATATGTCTTGGGAGTCTGCAGTTCACTGATTATCTTGCCTCTTAATAATAACCACAGAATAAGGTTTATATTTAAGTTAAATATTTAATTGGTATAAATACACTACTGAGATCACTGAGGCAAAAAAGTGAACATTTTATTTCTATGTTTTAATGAGCACATTTCTGGCCATTTATGTCTTAATGAGTACATTTTTGGCCATTACGCTTACACCCGTAGAAATTTCTGAGTTTCACAGTTCAAAGACATTTTAATATGACTTAGGTATTTTCATTGGCATCATGTACACATGATGGGAAAATAAACAGGTAAGTTCCATGAAAAGCAATTACCAACAACTTTTACTGCTTATTTATCTTAATGTTCAAAAATATTTTTATGGAAGAATCTAAAGCACAAAATAGCCAAACCAGGAAAACTGGTGCCTTGAGGATTAGGAGGTTATAAAATCACCTAACCTTATTTCTTTCTTTTTTTTTTTTTTAAATATTTATTTATTTATTTATTTTTAGTTTTGGGCAGGCACAACATCTTTGTTTGTATGTGGTGCTGAGGATCGAACCCGGGCCGCACGCATGCCAGGCGAGCGCGCTACCGCTTGAGCCACATCCCCAGCCCACCTAACCTTATTTCTGCCAAGAAGGGTCATTTATATTGAAATGATAGCGTTCAACCAAGGAGCAGGGTGGACACAGGCTATAGATCTGAAACCACGTAAGGAAACGAGGGCCGATTATATTTTAGAGAAGGCATAGGCACACACATGGGCTATGAAAAAATAAAATGTTTTTTGTTTGTTTTGTTTTGTTTTTCATGCATGAGCCTCAGCTCCACTACAATTTCTGAGTGATTCAGAAACTTCCAAGGTTCTCACAGAACCAGAACAGACAAGGATTTTGATGTATATTGCCAGTAATTTAATTTTTTCTAAGGCAGGAGCAGTGAAAATCCATCAGGGTCGTCTCATGCCTGAAAATCAGAATTGAATTACTTTTCACAAACAGCAGAAAAGTAATTTTCATGAACGAGTATGATTTGAGTGATTCAGGGAGGGAAAATCTGAAGTAGGGACATGGAAGCAGAGGAAGGAAATGTGCTTTGTGGGGTTTTTCCTCCTTGAATAATGGAGAGTTCAAGTATTTCAGACTGTTAGGCTTTTCAGGCAGACATGGGGTATGCGGCTCTATTTGGCTTTCCCACATGGCACGGGCAACACACACTCAACCTTCCAGTTACTTAAACTCAGAGAGGGAAGTAGGCTCTTCATGAATTATGAAGTTCTGGAGAGAGGGCACCAGGGCAGTTTTGAATACGAAACGTAGTAAAATGCCAACCTGTGTTTCAATGTCTTTTGCTGCCTATGGATGTAGACTTTGTTAAATAGGCTGATGAGCTTCTGGCACATTTAAGAACAGCAGTGATATTTGGGGAAAACATTTTTTTTGTTGTTTTGTAAATAAAGGGATGATATCACTGAAAACTGGGAAATGAAGAGAAAAAAACTACCAACAAAATAAATATCCACTACTAATTGTTAGCATTTTGTATATTTCATTCTAGTCTTTTTTCCTATTTTCTGTCTGACAGTTAAATATGATAAACATCTGAGAAACCAACTCCTGCATTTTAGTCTTTAAAAAAAAAAAAAAACAACTCTTTATTAAAGCTGTTAAATAAACAACAAAAAACTCCAGCGGTAAGCTAAGCCAAATCTTGCTTACAGATTTTTCCCCGTCTTTAAGGTTTTGCTGTTGTTTATTTAAATTCAAAAACAAACACTGTTAATGCTGAGTTCAAAGTACAGACATAGAGCCTGGAGGTTAGCTAGGCTTGTCCTCCCACAGCCCCATGGTGTGGGGACTGCGCAGACCATAGCTGCTCCACAGCACTGTTTGCTCTGAGTGAGGAGGTGACACAATATGGGGGTGTGTGGGTGGAGGGGAACTAACTGTCTCAAGGTTTTAACAATGTTTAGTTTCTGACTTTTATAAAATGGTTGTTTAGAACTTAAAAGAAATTGTAAAAGTAATGCAGGGGAGGGAAGTGGGTGTTTCCAATTTATTCTGTAACATTTATTTAATCCACATCGTTTAAAAACAAAAGTTTCAAAGATAATGTGGCAATTCATTGAGGTATGAAAAGAATATTCATCTATGTTTTTATTTTCCACCTTGTTCTTTAACATCTAGTTTGTTTCATTTTATGGGATATAAAACATGAATAGAATACTAAAAGAATTTAATTTGTAAATATATGAAAATTTCACGTACAAGCTATGAAAGCTCATACTTCATTCTATTTTTTTTTAAATGGAGAACTTTATAGAGACCATTAGCTTAAGCAATTATAATATGAGCACTGTTTGTTACCATATTGATAATAAGATCTCTTTATAAAAACATGTTCCATGTTCCAACTGGCATAGCCCCAGGAATAAATCTGTCATGGAAACATACCATGATTCTGTGGATCTTTTTCAAATATTAGATTGGATAATGGGATTTTGGAATCCCAGAATAGGAGCTGAAAGCAGAAGCAGGGCTACTTCCTTCCTCCAGAGGGAACCCGCAACATGGCAGAGTTCTCAGTTTCTTTTAGTTCAGGCCCATCTTAACCTGGGAGGTGGACTGAACCTTCTCAGACATTCAAGGGCTTTGACTCACACACCTGCTGGAGCCCGGTGCATGGATTCCTGGGACTATGATCCCAGGGAGTCAACTACAGGTCTGTCACAATGGAGGAAGGACCTCAGCAGGCAAAGTCACATGGGGATGAAGTCTCCAAGTCCCATATGTCAAAATGCAGCATATTTGTGGCAAACACTTCAGTGGAAAATGGCTTGTGTGGATGGAGGCCAAGTCTGGGGTGCTTCTTTTAGTCAATCATGGTATATACACTCAGTTGTCATGTACATTTTTCTCATTTGTCAGATTTCCCATGGTGAATTGGCCACTCCTGGAATCCCAGACATGGCAGGAGGCAGATTTTCTGGTCCTGCACCAGGTCTTGTCAAGTTTCTGATCACTACCAGATCTATTTCCAACTCTATGCAGGTGATGGATTCTCTACATAGAAGAAGTCAAATTGAACTTTCAGACACAAATCTTATCTGGTCATTTATTGTATCATTCCTCCAATAGCTCCTTGCTGACTGTTTTTAAAGTCCAAATTCCTGCTCCTTTCTGGTCTCCTATTCTGCAAATTGAATCTCCACATGAGGCTGTGAAGCAGGTGGAAGCCGGTTACCTCCCCTCTCCTCCACTCCTTTTGGAAAGAGCTCTGCTCCCCTCTGTGTGGCTGCATAGGGGTACTGCCTCAAAAGGATGGTCATAATTCCCTCCCCGACCCTGCACAGAGACTGGTTGGTTGAGGTTAAGAACTTGGTCCAATTAACAGATGGGGAACAAAAAAGGCCTGAATATAACACCCCGACCTCAGGATCGAGTCAGGAAAAAGTGACTCCTGAGCTAATCTGGTTTGTTTTTGAAAAGGTTTCTCAACTTTCAACTGAAATAAACCTAGAACTCAGACCATGTTAAACCAACCCGCCTATGACAGATGTATAGTCTATTTATAAGGCTACGGGACTAAATATATCCTGATCTTTTCAAGTCAATGGGATGTAAGAATATCACATGATCCATGATTTCCACTCTCTAGTTTATGTAGCTAAACTACACTGAACCCACTCGCTTCTCTAATCTGGCTTGTTTAATACATCAGTGGGAATGGTTTTAATGGAGATTGCTCAGATATCACATTTCCATTCCTTAGAGAGTCTATACATCAAAGGCTTCTAGACTTCTAGCCCTTACTGTTGCTACACAAGAGCAGATGGGAGACTGCATTAGAGATGACCAGAATCTGTGCTCCAGGAACCAAAGCCTCAGGACCGGAAGTGCTGAGAACTGGGATTTCAGCTTTTACAGGTTTGAGAGTCTTCAGGTCCAGATAAAAACCCTGGAGTAAGACATACAAGGCTTTTGAACAACCTGTCCTCTTCTTTACTCTCTACCCCAAGAATCGCAGAATGTTAATCCTAGGAGGACCTCAGAGATAGATCCTTATTCAAAAAATAATAAAAT